TTTTCATATACAAATATTAAAAATTCTTGTAATGCAAAGTCAATAAAAAAAATTAAAAAAAAAAAATAATCCATTGATCTAAACTTTTATTGAAACCAAATATTTTTTTTTTCAAATATTAATAGTTACACTCATTTTTTCAATCAATAATTTTTTTCATTCTACTTTTTTTTTATCTATGATCTTATTAATATTATTTTATTTTTTAACTATTCAATAATTTAATTTCTTTTAGATGATATAAAGGCGTTAAGATTATGTAAACAATATATAAATTAGAAATAAAAAAAAAAATGAATAAAATTTATGGAAAATGTAATTTTTGAATGTAAGAGAGTATATTATTTTAAGGTTTGTAAATAAAATAAGTTTTATTTCATAAGTGTAAAATATATAATGCACCAATAAAAGTATCATCTCTAATTTTCAAATATCATATTTTACTATAGATATTTTATGTTATAGTATTAAAAAAATTAAAGAGGAACAATTTAATGAACATGCATATGTTTAAGAATGACGATTGAATCAAAAATAGTTATTCAACATAAGAAATATCAATGTTTTATGGAAAAAAAAAATATTAGTTAAGTGCAAATATATAGTCTTAATAGAAATACTTTGTTTAAATTATTCACTAATAAATATGCATGATACAATTTAAGTTTATCTGTTAGTAGTATGTAAAATATAAATGTTCTTTTATGATAATATGTGTTACATAAATTAATCTACTATTTATTTTAATTGTAATACAGTAATAGGAATCAAAATATAGTTATTGTAAAAATAAAATAAAATAATTAACACTCGATTTTAAATATTGAATTTCAAAATATGTGTACTTGTTAGAAAATATATAGTTATAATTAAAATTAATAAATAAAAATAAAAATTACATTTACTTTAAATTTATTTTATTAAAAAATCTTATTATAAATCATAGATAAATTTAAATTTTCAAATCACTTCTCGAAACTAGGAAACATAAACCTTGTAAAAATATTGACAAATATATAAAATAATATTAAGATAAAAGTAAAATATGAAAGAATCATTATTTTACAAATTATTTAAAATAGAATTTTTATTTTTTTTCACTTTTTGGATAGTCTTGAAATTCTATTAACGAAAATGATAATGCATGCATAATGATGTTAGGAGATGTAACAATAATTTATTTTGGACAATATATATATATATATATAGATAGGTACCTTCAATTAACCAATGTTACAACATTATATATAGATAGATGTGAACATTTAATCAATCAAAGATGTTATTGTTCCTAATAATTTTCAAGTAAATGTTTTTTAAATATTTACGACTTTAAAGATATTTTCAAATATTTATATCTCTTAAATCATTATATACAAAGAGAAAATATATATGTAAGTATTACGATATATTACACGTGCAAATATAATTGAATTTGCAACCGTTATAATCAAAATAATAGAGAATGAAACATTCAACCACACTGTCAGCTTCCAATCAACAATAAGCAAATGATAATTATAAATTATAGTTATAGTAATTCGAGTTATTTTTCAAATAGTAAGACGCAAAAGGAAGACATAAAAAATATATATTTTGACAATAATAATGATCACTATTTTAAGGCATAAAGATGATATCACTAAATAACAAAATCAAGGACGACATAAATTTCTTTAGCATTTCAAATTTCACAAGAAATATTAATTTTATGTAGATTTTCTAACCAATATTTTTTATTTAATTTTATTTGTCATAGAGTTCTATTAATATTTAATAGTATTAAGTTTTATATTTTATCATAAAATACACAATTTTTGTTAAATAATGAAAAAAATTATATTGCGCTATTAAATTAAATATAATAATAAAAATAATTTTAAGTAAAAAAAATAATATCACGTGCATAGCACGTGCATCTTCCTAGTTAATTAAAAGAAGGCATGGAAGTTCACCTTGTTTAAAGTTAAGCCTGCAGCTCTCATATCTTGAACCAACTCATCAGCCTTTCTATAGTTCCCATCAACTGCATATGAATTTAGCAAGGAGCTGTAGTGGAATACATTTGGAGAATGACCTTCACCCTTCATCTGATTGAAGTATTTCTCTGCTGCTTCACATTGATTGTTTGAAGCGCAAACAGAAATAAGTGTTCCATATACTACAGCATCCATGTGCAACCCCCTAGACTTCATTTCGCGAACCAATTCCATTGCCTTAGAATAACCACCTTTCACTTTGGTGTAGCCCGCAAGTAGCTAAGATTGCATAAAGTCCACAATTCTTTGAGGCCATATGAAAACAAGCCTACATATATGTGTGTGTCTGTACGAGCACGCAACTAGGAATACCTTTATTTACTACAAAAGATTAACCTATAATGGAGCCACTTCTAATGAGCAGAGACCAGGAATTTCAATCCCTTGACGTGTCAGTGCATTTTTTGTATATGTTGTAGAGCCAGTTTATACGGTCATGTAAAAAAAAAAAAAAAAGAGAATATCTTTATCATATCCATTGTTGTAGGCACATACACAGAATTCATAATGCCAATACCATTTCCACATTTTATTTAGGGGGGAAAAAATATACCTCCCAAAGTACTCGATATTTACACCCTGCCTCTTAAAGTTTTAAAGTTGAAGCATTTGAAAATTTGTCTCCTCAAGTTTCAAACCTAAAGTGAAACAAAAAGTTTCAAATTCAGTTAAAGATGTATTTTGAATCGAACATCAACATTGATTCAGGGCTTTTGGAGCCCACAATAAGACGAACAAAATGAACTATGATTTATTGATTTTGAATAAGTGACCAGTAGGTAATCAATGAACAAAGTAGGTAGCTGACATTGGTGAATAGAAGATGATCAAGATATCCGACTTTCGATTGTAAACTTGCACGATGAACTTTCTAATGACATCTTATAAAAAAATTGTTCAAATTCTAATGGGTAGTCCAACAAATTGACAAACATTTAGCTTTTTTGAATTACTAACCAAATGACACCATTCGATTTTCACAAGACCTACCTTATTAGAGAACTTGGTAGCTTTTGAATGAAATTTCAATAAAAAATCGTTGATCATCGAAAAATCAAATATTACCTCATTTCTTTAGTCTTATTATGGGTTTCACAAGCCCTAAACCAATTTAAAATTCGACTCAAAATTTTTATCATTAATTGCGTTAGAAACTTTTTGTTTCGTTTTAGGGTTTGAAAGTGAGGAGGCAATTGTCGATTTGTATATTTCAGGATGGAATTTGTCAACTTTAAAACTATAAGAGAAGCTGTAAAAATCGAACGCTTTGGTGGTATAAAAAAAAATCCCTTTGTTTTATATCTTTTAATCACAAAAGTGTACTAGAAACAAAACACAATTATCAATGAAGGGAAGGACATAAGCCAACATATGATTAGATGTCTAACAAGCTTTGAGAATACTATATCAATCAATCAAGCCGTTAAAATCCCACTATGTGGATCTCATGTAGCAATCGTACTAGATCAAAACATATATTCATTCAAATTTAAATACTTTAATCATTTTTTATTGTTTCCTTCCAAGTTTCTTATGTCTTGCCCTTTTTAATTTGCGTTCTTAATCCTAATGTTTCTTCGTTCTCACTGTGGCCTCAAAGTTTCTCCTATGAACATGCCCAAACCATCTTAACCGTGATTATCTCATTTTCTCCTCAATGGGCGCTACTCTAACTTTATTTCTAATACTTTCATTTCTAATCTTATCTGACCTAGTATAATTTGAATAAAGAATATGCCAATGCGGTTGCATGCGCTTATAACTTGAGATGCTTAGTGGATTTAATAGGTTATTAACCAAGTACAAGGATCACATATTCCTACCCTTAGGTTACACGGTTCGGACGCCAAGTCACTATTGTTGTATTTATGTTGGACTTATTAAAATTGCACTTACCAATTTCTTTAGAGAAACATTTCGTTGAATCCTACTTAACATTCTCATAATCTATCTTTTTATAGTTAAAGGGAGGAGAGGGGATAGCAAGAACTGAATAAATCATAAGGAATCTGGTGAATGCTCTATCGAAGGGTAGAGATACCACTTGAGCAACATGCTCATGGTTCTTATAATCTTAAATTATTTACACATGTTGTGTTTACTCCTTTTGCTTTTATTTGACTGTTATTACCATTGTGAATTATATTATATCAAGTAAACACGTTAGAAGAGCTCTTGACATTTGAACCTTCCACACTCTTTCTCCAAAGGATAAGAAAAATAAAATTAAGGTTCCACTAGCTAGTTTTCTATAAACTTAATTCAGAAATCAGATCAACTACCTATCGAATATCAAGCATCATGTTTTTCCATATTTATGTGTTGTAGGATGTGTATGAGTGTGCCTGTTGCATATCAAATGCAACTACGTCCATGCGAGAAAAAGTGGAACAAATAATGCACGTGAAAATTAGTGTGCGTGGTTTGCAACATGCCATGTAGAGAATTAGAATAGCATACCGTACTATAAGTTACAATATCAGGTACCAAACCAGCTTGCTTCATTTGATTAAATAGCTTAAGGCCGCTGTCAAACTTGCCACTCTTTATTAGACAATGCAGAGTAGAATTACAAACAGAAACATTGGTCTTTATGGAATCATCTTTGATGCTATTGTATATTTCCAGGGCTTTCGAAGAGTTAGACTCCCATCCAATGAACTTAATGTAACTGCTATAAGATGCAAAATTAGTTTTGTCTTGCTGCCGCATCCAATCAAAAAGCTGCAAAGATATCAGACAACGTATTACAATGGAAATTTGATGATTTTATTTATTGATGTCCGTACTGCACTCAGGAGAGAGAATGAGAATGAGAGAGAACGGGGAGGGGAAGAGACGAAGAGTAAATTTGGGATTGCAAGAAAAAGAACACTGTCTTCTGGAAAGAGAACAAAAAAAATTCCCCAGTATGATTTTGCTTTGTTACCAAATTAACAGACTCGTTTCAGGCAATGATTAAATAAGAAAATAGAATTTCTGAGGTGATAACCTATAATTAATGCTTCTCAAGGATAACCATATTTTTGGGTCATTCAAAAAGGTTTATCAAGACAACAATGTTTCCAACTAAAAGTATTCTGATTCTGATAAGGACACTCAAAAGATAATGAAAATCTCTATGCATCAGTAAACAAAAACTAAAAGATGCTTACATGTACTACTTTCCAGCCACATCTACAGAATACCAACCTAACAATACATAGGCAATATGCCAGAGATTACACATTCACATCATCAAATCAAATATGTCATCAACCACATCATCAAAACTAAAAAATTGCAGAGGTAAAATAAATTGGTTGTTCTGAAACCTGAGAAAGATCATTCCATCTGTTTAGCTTTCCGAAATGACGCAACACCACGTTCAGTTCTGGCGCTCTCAAAAGTTCACCTGATCTGTAAGCAGAATGAGGTAAGCTATCCAGTACTTCTGTGCAGAGGCAAAATTCCAAGCACGGCACCAGAGGGTTTCTTTCTTTCACAATTGCAATCTCAAAAAATGAGAAAAATCAAGGAGGAGCAAAGTCCACATTCCAAGATATTACTCAACCTAGTAAACCATATGAATAGAAGGTTCTGTGCAATAGCAGTAACACACAGCCACACGTAGTATGACACAACTAGCTGTTCGAGACACAGATAATCAAGAAATAACAAAGGATGGCAAATGATATTGATGCAGGGAAAACATCAATCAAGTACAAATCTATATACAAACTGTAACTTAAATACTCAACATGGCAAAGAGACAGTGTGCAAAATGTAGAAAAAGTGGTTCTCAAATCTTCTAGGTTATCGTAGCATCAGTGAAGAATCCATTTCATAGTGCGAGAAGTAAGGAACTATCTAAAATCCTGAATGGGTTTCTTTAATCTTTTTAGGTTGATGCTCTACTCCGGGGCAAGGTCGGCCCGATTTTGATTTGAAACGACAATTGCTTTGTACTAAACGCTATTGGCAGCCCCAGTGCTCACCCCATCAATACCAAAAAGTGAAAAATCTCTACTCAAACCCAGCTAAGATTTTAGCTACAAGACACCTAACTATTCATAATTCATGCTAGCCCCATCAATGATAACAACAAGTGCTTAATATCGGTAAAACAGACACAAACCGGGACAGGAATAGATAAAAACTGGAGGGACTCGAGAATCAACCTAGAAAGAGCAGATTCCAGGTCAGAAGAATTCTGAATATCAACAATGGCGGATTCACGCTCTTCCTTAGAGGCCGATAAACCCTTCGAAGTTCGCCTGGAAACGTTCACGGGCTTGATTAAAGCTTCGCCGTATTTCTGAGCAACGTTGGAAGAGATTGGAGCTGAGACTCTTTGCGGCGGCAGAGGCGGCGCGAACTTGGTTGCGGTGGTGGGCTTTGAGTTCTTTACGGGTCGGGTTGCGCGGGAACAGCATACCGGTCGAAATGAGTTGGCTATCACCGGTGAGACCGCCATGGGGATAGGAAAATGAAAACCAGAGAAGTAATTTCGCCAAAGTAGCTCACGTTTGTCAAGAGTGAGCTCTTTATTTTTTTGGTATAGGGACCTTCCGGTTTCTAGATCCACAGGGGAACCGACTAATCCGGAATCGAGCCGGGTAGGATCACAAAGGCTACAAAGCTCTCCCTCAAAAGTTTTAACACTACTGCATTCTCAGGGCTCGAACACGAGACCACTAGTTAAGCTGGAAGAGACGCAAGTCATCTCATTCAAACGCTCTTGGTAGAGTGAGTTCTTTATTTGAATTGTATTTGTGCGTCAGAACCTCAGAAACTGTGAATTTGGGCAACACTGGGCCTGCGAACTTTGGGCCACATTGGTGCCAAATCATGTGAAAGGAGATGGTAAATCATAAAATGGAGATGGTAAATCATAAAGACGAAATTGTGCTACGCACGAGCCAAAGTGATTTTTATTATAAACATACGATAGTTAAAAATTATTTGCAACTAACTATAATTGAGAATCTTATTTATATTTCAACAAGGCTGACTAATTATATTTCTTCTTTTTTTATTTTTAATTTTGGTTGGTTGTTTTTTTATAGTTAGTGACGTGTTTAAAGGAATTCTATAAGGAGTTAATAATCAATTAACAATCAAATGCATCTTCTTTCTCTTTCCTCTCACTTTCATATTTTCTTCTTCCTAGATTTTTTCCATATTTCTTTTCTTCTTCATATCTCTCTCTTCATCCCAATTTATAGGCACGGTCGTCGGAAAAAAATCGGCGATCCGTAAATCGGCCGTGGAGAAGGCGAAGAAGAAGAAGAAGAAGACGAAGAGGTTGAACAAGGTCTAAACGCCCGAGGCTGTGAAGAAGAGGAAAGTCTTTTATGTATATATTCTCGTAAACACAATCGACAGTGTAATGTTTTTTTTAATATCTTTTGTATATATCTTGTATATAATGACAAGATTGATTTATATTGTGTTTTCGTATTTATGTCCTCCGTATATAATGAGTATATTTTCTGTATATAAGTCTGATAATGTATGTTGTATGTATTAAACCAGAAAATATGCTATAAATATACAGAAAAAACATGAGATGTATATAACACAAAAAGTAAACAAAAAGGGATTACGAAAAGATAAAATTACCTGATTTATTTCGTATATTTTCTGGACTTATATATTTTCTGTATATTTTCTGTATACCTTTTGTATATATTATGTATATATTTTGTGTGAATGTGATTCTGATTACTTGATGTTTTTTCATAATTTATTTATTCTTTTATTGGTTTATAAACCTATAATAAACTAGAAAATTAAAGTTAAAAAATATTTAAAAATTTACATGAAGAGATAATTAAAATTTAAAGGAATGAAATAAAGATAAGAGAGAGGAGAGAGGAGAAATGTAGAAAATAACGGAGAAGACAGAAAAAAAAAAAGGATGAATAGGGAGAGTGTAATTAAGAAGAATTTTTAGGAGTAGATAAATGAGAGAGAAGAGAGAATGCCTTTAATATGTACTACGTATTTAGTTAAATATTTATATTAGACTAGTGCGTATCCCGTGCGATGCACGGGTAAACAATATTAAATAATAATTATAAATAAGTATCGAGTTCGAGTCACCCAATGAAAGAAGTGGGGAACCACTATTGATCTTCTCTTAAAAGAGCAAGAAAAGGTATCATCTTTAATATTAATTATATATTAATGATGTGCGATTAATATGTCATATAATTTACGGTATATCAGTTTATTATAAACGATATAAAATTAGCTTGTTCAAGAGGATATACAATTTGTATGTTTAAACAATTAAAAATTCCTAAAATATTATATTAACATATGTAAAATTATCTAAACTTTTCACTATTATTATCAAAAGATGTGAAGTCACCTAAAACTTTTATAAATTTTTTTGTAAAGAAAATATATCTAAAAACATTAGAGTTTACATTTGTATGAAAGATGTTTTCTGAATATGACATGATAAAATATTACATAAAAGTATCTAAAATATTATAAGCCTAATTAAATAAATACATTATAAAGTTTTTGAAAGAAAATTTACCTAGTATATATAAAATAAATATTGACATGATGCTGAAAATTATGACAATACTACCGTATGTGAAAATTTTGGGTATAGAAGATTTCAAAATTATTATTATAATTCTTTTGAGTAATTTCAGTACAAAATATTTCAAAATTATTATTATTATTGCGTACAGAAGATTGCAAAATTATTATTATTTTTTAGTTACTGTAAATATTATTATTACTCTTTTAAATAATTTGAATACAGAAGATTTCAAAATTATTATTATTTTTTAGTTACTGTAAAAAGAAATTTTGTACGCATAAAATTCCATGCTTTATGCAGATTTCTCAATTTTACAAAGAAAATGGATTTATTTTATATTGAATGGAAACTAAGAAAATTTTGAAAAAAAAAAAATTGCTTGATTTTTGAAAAAATACATTTGTAATTTACCTTAATTATTGTAAAATTTTGAAA